TTAATATATCAGGGCTATTTTTCCATGCCACCAAATAGTCTAGTAGACAATTTTTAATAACCATATAATATTACATAGTAAATATTTGTAGCATAACACAATTAATGAATTCCATGTGGTTGACTACTTAGGTAATTCACAGTAATTTACTATTGTAGAACAATGTTATAATGACCAGCCTTGAAAATATTCAGATACAGCTACAAATAGTTCCTTGGGATAAATTCCTAGGAGTAGACTTGATTGGTCAAACAAAACCATTTCATACATATTATCAAACTGCCTCCAAGGATTTTACAGCAATTTATATGACTATCAACAATATAAAAATTATATTTTCACCACATTTCATAAGGTTATTTTATATTAGAAAAAAATCCTTATTTAGGATAACAAACTTAATCTCTTTATTATCTCTTCATGTATATTAAGTCATAATGCAAATTGTGTACAAACTGTTAAAATTATTTAAACATCTAATATCTTGAGAAGTCCTACTAAAACAAACCATAAGAACTTTCAGTAAGGAAACTACATTTTGTATTTCTAAGTTACACCTTATTATATGAAAAGCCAGGCAAAATGAGTCAGTTTTTTCCCACTATTTTGAAGACTAAGACTTTTCAAAACATTACACAAGTAGTCAAATAAAAAATTAAAAAGAAAGTTTTTAATGGCATAGATAACAGGGAGAACACATAGTCTCCACCCTTAGGGAGTAGACAATTATCTATGTTGGAGAAGCAGAACACTAGTTGGAGAGACAAAAGGTACAAACATGGAAAAGGAAATGAGTCAAGTTAGAGTAAACAGAAGAAAAGAACAACAGACTGAGGTTAATAAGAAAGCTTCAGGAAGAAGAAAATATGAATTTTAATGTCAGGAAGAAATATGAGCATTCTAGGTTGACATGGCATATTTGAAAGATCATCTTCCTGGAACAGAAGATTTGCATTCATGGAAAAGGACAGGTAAACTGATAGCAGTCTCTGAATGCAAGACTAAAGCACTGGAATTTAATCTGACAGCAAACAAATGGCCTCAGGAGATTCTTAAGTGGAGTAATGACACAAAGAAAATGGTGCTTTAGAAAGATAAAGCAACCTGGTACCAGAGATAAGCCAGCTCAGCAGTGTATTAATAACAATACTCAGGTAATCCATTTGTACTGGGAAGTTACTTTGGCTCTACCATGGGTAGGAGACACTCAGTCACTCAATGTCAATAATCGGCAATAATCTCCTTGAATACTCAGGAATCAATCTAGCATGTTTTTTTTTTTTAATCTATCATCTTAAATCCCTTTCCACACGTATATTCCACGGGTTTCTTCTTCCTCTCAGGACAGGGAGAACAATCTTGTCTGTGACCACAGTTTACTTTTCTGCTTTCTTCTTGCTAAGCCATTTCCTTGGGTTTAGGTGGCCCCAAACAATCATGACTCAACTCCACTGAATCTCCTGGAGGACCACTCAATGTGGAGCTGTTTTTGCACCACAATCTGAAGTCATGCCTCGGTTTTACATCCTGAACCACAATTTTTGCCTGTATTTCCTGTGACCTAATACACACTTGATCTGTGACTTCTGCCTCTACCCTGGTGCTGCCATTACTGCTCATGAGGTGCCTGTGTTTTCTCATCAAAGCTTCACCCTTTAAGCACAGTCTGTCATTTGTCCCAGTTTGTGCCGAACCTGCTTGACCACTGCAGCTGGGAATCTGATCCACTTTCTATGAGCTAATGCTGACAACTCCTCCTTCTCCTTAACTTCAACTAACAACCGATTAACAAAGCCTGTTGTTCTTGAATTTCTCACACCCACCCACTGCTACTACCTTTGTTTAGCACTCACTACTTTCCTAAAATTTTATAGTAATGGCCAATGGTTTTTTGCCTCTAATCCATCCTATACTGAGAGAAGGTAAGAAGAAACAGGCAGAACTGTGGGACAATTTATATTCTTTAACCACCCAAGTAAGGGTATCAGAAGAAATCTGAGTTAAAGGTTTTCATTAAAACTCCACTGTATATATGAGTTCTACCTCTCGTTGCTTTAGCAAAAGCACCTATCATTTTTGATGATGGCGTTTGGTACCCACTTGTCTATTTATCACCTTAAAAGGTGCGAGGAGGAGTGTGGGAATAGTTTGTGTCCCAGACAAAAAATATATATATATATATATTCTAAAAAAGAAGAATATGATTTATGTATAAAAGAGATAACCAGAGCCTGGGAGCCTAAAAGGGCTTCCTGCCTCTGTAGTCATGTTGCTTCCTTCATAGCCTCTGCTCAATTTAGTGTAATAAATCACATAGTGTAATAATACACGTTGGCATGGCTCACATGAACCAAAGACTGGCAGAAAGTAAAAAACAATTTTCCCATGATATCACAGTAAGCTGGCCTAACCCTAAAGCACATTACTTATCATCACCTGGGAGGGGTGGGCTCTTCTGGCAGCAGAATGGGATGGAATGGAGAGCAAAAGAGAAATCAACACTTGGGTCAGTTTTTATATTTTCTATTCCCTTCCACTCTGATTTGTCTCTTCTTACTCAAATATCATACTGCTTTAATTGCTATAGCTTTTTATTATGTTTTTGACATACTAGGTAAAGCAAGACTCCATCTTATTGTCAATCTTTAAAAATATTTGTGGTGATTGATATGTAATTTTCTCTTCTAAGTGAACTTTGAAATCAATTGTACAATTCTGTTTTAAAAATCCCACTGATATTTTGTTTGGGAAGACACTGAATTCTGGTGTAATTTAGGACCCCTTGATTTTTCCCAACTGGAAACAAGGATGTCTATTTATTCAGGTCTTCAACTATGTCTTTCAGTAAAGTTTTACAGTTTTCTCATATTAGTTTTAAATATTTTTGGTAGATTTACTCATTCATTTCATAGTTTCTGTGTAATTGTGAATGGAACCTTTTATTCCTATTACATTTTCCATTGGTTATTTCTGATGAATGGGAAAGCTACTGATTCTAGTATATTTGCTCTGTATCCAACTAAACTTATTACAGTCCTTCATTAATCTTAATAACTTTGTTCTTGGATTTTCTAAGTAGATAATCACAAGTTTTTTCAAAATAGTGACAGTTGTAGCTCTTACTTTTTAATATTTATACTTCATTTTCATTGTCTTGATTACTAAAGGTTTAAATTTCTGAAAATGATGTTGAATAGTATGAGTAACATTAAGCATTCCTGTCTTGTTCCATGGTTTGAAGAGAATACTTTTAATGAACTGCCATTAAATGCAATGTTTGCTATTGGTTTTGACAATTATCTCCTACCTTAAATCAGGAATGGGTGTTTACCTAGTCTCCTTTGTTCACTGGAAATAAATGAGTTTAGAGTTCGAATGGCCTTTGGAAATCATTTGGTCCTCTTGTTTCTTTACCCTTCTACCAGAATAACAACATAAATATGGTCCCCAAACAAAAATTAAAATGTGTTGGGCAAGTAAAAGCATAAACAGAAACCCCCAAATAAAAACTCAGACAATATTGGACAAAACTATATTATTTACATTATCTTTTAACTATTTTTAGCTTCAAAGATGAATATTTAACATCAACTAATAAGCTAATGTGAATTCACTGTCATTCAGCAGACACTTGGTGTGTGCCTACTATATACAAATGAATTAATTATAGAATAGTCAATTGAAAGATTACTTACTTTATCTAAAACTGTCTTAGGAACAAATATTGGTTTAATCACACCTAACGACTTTCAAACCTTTCAGTAGTCTACATGCTTTTTTCTCTGTAGTTTACGAAGAGACTACTTTCTTAATGAATGCTCTAATGTCACAGATGAAGAATAATT